ATAATTCTGGTTATATTCCAGTTCCTAAGAGAAGACCCTTAAAGTCACAAGTGAGAAGACAAAAAAAAAAAAAAATGCCTTCCTTAATTATGACTTTTTATAATCGTTGAAAAATATGCCTGAGTGGCAATTTAAACTTATTTTTCCTCTGTCAGTGCTATCTTGACTTAAGACTTTGTCACCATACTTAGTAAAACTGTGACTATATATATGAAAAAAGGGAAAAACAAATACGATAGAAATACTAGTTTTGCTGTGCCCATTAAAAAGCAGGATGTTTTTAATGTAGGAAAAATTGAAGGGAAGCCATCAAGATCTGAAATTAATGAGGATACACAGACCACTTTGGAGAGTTTCAGCAGAACAGTGTCTGGAGGTGAATTTGTGGTTTCAAATATTCCAAAATTTCCTTTGTCTGACGTGTATCCACCAAGTCAAATCACAGATCTTGATGCCAAACCTGATGGGGACCAAATCACTCTAACGTGGACAGCACCAGGAGACAATTTTGATGTTGGAAAAGGTAAGCTCAAATGTTGACTAAAGTGAAAGATGCTTATTATAAAGGCAAGAATGGAAAAGGAGGTTGTGGAGCAAGTTTTAATTGATTACTAAATAAGTATTAATGTAATAAGCTGATGTTTTTGAATTAATGAAATTGACACATTTTAACCTGGTGTCAAGTTTTCATACAATGAAGGTAACAATTGATAGTCTTAAAATTGAAAATTCAGAGTTTATTTTAAATGAGATGGATTTTTAGATATGAATACAAGCAATAACTGAACAACATTTCTGAAAGAACTATATAAAAAATAGTTCAACTAGAAGATTCTAAAAAAAAGGCATATTCTCTAGCTCCTAAATTATTTTTAATTTTTTTTTGTTTGTTTGTTAGTCCAACGGTATGTCCTGAGAATAAGTGAAAGTATCCTGGCTCTAAGAGACAACTTTGATACTGCTCTTCCAGTAACTATCACTGATCTGTTACCAAAAGAAGCCAACTCCAAGGAAACCTTTGTATTTACACCTGGAAAAATCTTAGAAGAAAATGTAACACGTATATTCATTGCCATCAAGAGTGTAGATAAAAGTAATCTGACATCAAAAATATCTAACATTGTACAAGTCCCTTTGTTTATTCCTCAAGCAGATCCAAGCCTTGAAGAAAATCGTCATAATACCAGAGTTAACATTTCTATCTTGGTGTTGTCAGTGACTGGGTCTGTTGTAGTTGTTAGTATTATTTTAAGTACTACCATTTATATTTTAAAGAAGAAGAAAAATGAAAGTAGACCTGCAAGTAGGTTTTAATAAAGCCAACAAAACTGAAAAATGTATGTGGTAATTAGTTTAAAATTAGCGTTTTAATTCATACTGTTTTGATCATAAACTCATGAAAATAATTTTAAGAAGTTTTGAAAGTACTCTTAGATTATATATAAACATTCAAGAAAACTGTATTTAGAAAGCTGTAATCAATATTAAAATTTTAATAATTTTATTTGCTCAGTATTTTAATCACAAAAAGCATTGAATAAAGATTATTTTTCTTGATACCTAGCTGTATATTACTTGATTCAAAGTTTTCTGGAGTTGTATATTTTAAACCTGATCAAGAGCTATAAATTGCCTATTTGGGTAGTCAAAATTTAAGAGTGAAAAAAGCAAACTTCGGGGAAAAATGAGTTTGCTCTTTGTCTATTGAGTAAAAACAGATAGTATTGCATTCACCCAAAATCTCCTATTATAGCCTACAATAGCTAAGGTCATGTGTTAAAGTTTATGGAAACTGAGGACACAAGAAAATAAAGCTATATGAACATATATTTATTCTTTTTCCCTTAAAAAGCCATACTGATAACAGGTCAGCCTACAGAAGGCTAGGAAGTCATGAAATAATAGTATAAGCGAGTTTTGTTGTTGTTGTTAAGTTCCATCGAGTCGGTTCCCACGCATAGCGACCCTATACAGGGTTTCCGAGGAGCGACTGGTGAACCTGAACGGCTGATCATGCAGTTCAAACGGTTTTGCAGTCTGGCACATCAATCCACAGCGCCACACCAGTGGTTGTAAATTCCTGAAGGGAGACACGCCATAGACAGCAGAGCCTCCCCATGCTCACAGTCTAAGGTGTTTTTATAGTGATGAGTTCAGCTGCAGAAGCAATTCGACCAGATTTCAAAAAAGGAGTGGGCTTTTGTTTTCATAGTTCTGCTTTCCTGTGTCACTTTCTTGTTTCTTTTTTCCATGCTGTGTAAGCATCCAGCATCCATGATGGAGTCTCAGATTTTAAGATGGATTCCATTGCAGAAGCATCTGGGGTACTCCACATAACTGGTTTTGCACCTGCACTGAAAACTGGTTAAGGGGGAGGTTAATAGGTAACTGATGGTTTGTAAACTTCTCTGGGTAGCTGAATAGGGAGGAAGGGTTCACAATCCCACAGAGGTCCAAACGAACAAAAAGATTTGTTTGTTTTATCTTGTTGTATCCTGCTCGCCAGACAGAAAGATTTTTTATCTGTTGGCCACATCCTACCCCTTGTTCTTTGTATTTGGAGGGTTTTGGGGTTTTTTTAAGGTTCTGTTGTTCTTTTCCCACTGCTTCCACTTTGTTCTTTTTCCTTAGAAATTTTCCTCCTGTCCCTTGCCGTAGCAATAATTCAGATTTTTTTTTTTTTAATTTAAAACAATAATAATAATTTCCAGGAGTCCTGGTGTGGCCCTGTAAGATAAACACTGGACTGCTAACCATAAGGTCAGCAGTTCAAACCCACCAGCCATTCCTTGGAAATCCTATGCAGGATCACACTGATTCCGAACCTAGCCAACAGCTATCAGCATATCTGAAGCCAAAATGATAAATCCTATCAACCAGCAAGTGAATGTGGATTAAGAAGAGCAGGTAAACTGTGGTCAGATCAGCCAAAGACCCTAATGATAGAATATATAATAAAAGATTTTATTTTATCTCTAGTTCCCTAAAATGGAAAATAGAGAATGTAACTATGGCATACTTTGGTGCCAAAAAGGATTTCCCCTCATGGGAATATGTAAATCGCTGAGTCCAAGCTTACAATCTTAAGATTTTATTGCTCTTCCAATAAGTAGTTTTCTCATTTGACACAGTTTTGCCTGCAAAATTCAATTGCCTGAAGTCATTGGTGTTGTAAAATTCTATCATGTAATCTCCTTCGTCTTTTCTTTCACCAAGGCCATATGTTCCAATGGCTAATCCTTCCTCTTTGTTTCCAACCTTCGCATTCCAATCACCAGTAATTATCAAAACATCTTTATTTCGTGTTTAATCAATTTCAGACTGAAGGAGTTGGTAGAATTCTTCGAATTCAACATCACTGGCTTTAGTGGTTGATGGTTAAACTTAAATAATAGCAGTATTAACTGATCTTCCTTGTAGGGTATGGATATTATCCTATCACAAATAACATTGTACTTCAAGAGGGATCTTGATATGTTCTTTTTGATGATGAATGAGATGCCATTCCTTTTCAATTTATCATTCCCAGCATAGTAAACTATGTGATTGTCAGATTCAAAATGGTCAATACCAATCCATTTCAGCTCATTAATGCCTAGGATATCAATGTTTATGCATTCCAGTTCACTTTTGACAATTTCCAGTTTTCCTAGCTTCATACCTTGTATATGACCTGTTCCAATTATTAATGGATGTTTAGAGCTGTTTCTCTTCATTTTGAGTTGTGCCCCATCAGCAAATGAAGGTCCTGAGGGCTTTACTCCATTCCCATTACCAAGGTCAACTCTACTTTGAGGAGGTAGCTCTTCTCCAGTCACAGTTTCAGTGCCTTCCAACCTGAGGGGCTCATCTGACAACTATATCTGACAAAATATTCTGGTACTCTTCATCACTCTTCATTATTCAGTATTCTGGGGCTGACAGTATCCCACTGTTATTCATAAGGTTTTCAGTGACTTAATATTTGGAAGTAGTCTATCTCTCCTTCTTCCTAGTCTGTCTTCATCTGGAAGCTTAGCTAAAACCTGCCCACCATGGGTGACCCTGCTAGCATTTAAAATACCCACGGCATAGCTTCCAGAATCGCAACAACACACAAGCCACCATAATACAACAAACTGACAGACGAGTGGTGGTGCAGGCCATAAGTAAATCGAGTCAGTGCCAAACCAAATTATTTCAAGGGTCTTATATCTGTCTACATATATATACTTACATACATATACATAAAAGGACCATATAAGACCCTCGAAATCATTTGGTTTGACCTTGCAAAGTCAACTGCAGGAGGGACTCAAAATAAAATGAATCTATGAGCTTTTTTCATATCAACATAAATTGATATTAAGTGATGTTATATATATCCTAATGGCCCTTGTTGTTGTTGTTAAGCGCTGTCGAGCTGGTTCTGACCCATAGTGACCCTGTATAGGGTTTCCAAGGAGCAGCTGGTGAGCTTGAACCACCCACCTTGTAGTTCAAACGGCTTTGCAGTCTGGCGCATTAACCCATAGCGCCACACCAGAAGTATATATATATATAGAGAGAGAGAGAGAAAGAGAGAGAGAGAGAGAGCTCTGGTAGTGTAGTGGTTACGAATCGGGCTGCAATCTGCAAAATCAGCAGTTCAACAACATGTGTGTATATATATTATAATCCTGTTTATTGTATTCGGATAACCTTTCTTTTTTTTCTTTATTTCCTGAAGTAAAGACTTTATGATCTCTCTTTCTTTGACTACTTCCTGAAGTGAGTAAAGACTTCATAATCTTTCTTTTTCTTTTCCTAAAATAGGAATGTGCACCTTAGAAATTTGAACTAGCCAACTGGGTAAGGGAAAGATTGTGAGGTCAAAGCCCTAGCCAATTCCTTGTTCTTTGCCAATTCCTTCAATGCACGTTGGACTGCCTCCTTCAGTATCATTGGCTCTGAATCATATGCTACACTTCTTGAAACAGCTGAACATTAACCATTTCCTTTTGGTACAGTGACTCTGTGTATTCATTCCATCTTCTCTTGATGCTTTCTGCATCTTTCAATAAATTGCCAAATAATCCTTCAATAATGAAAGTCGAGGGTTGAATTTTTTCTTCAGTTACCCCAGCTTGAGAAATGCTGAATGTGTTTTCCTTTTTGGTTTTCTGATTCCAGATTTTTGCATAGTTTGTTGTAATATTTGACTTTATCTTCTCGTGCTGACCTTTGACATTTTCTGTTCAGCTCTTGTACCTCCTCATTTCTTCCATTTGTTTTAGCATCTCTACGCTGGAGAGGAAGTTTCAGTGTCTCTTCTGACATCCATTTTGACC